GGGGGAATTACTTTAACTTTAGTATGTTGTTTTTAATACACTTGTTTTTCTGTTTATTCAATTTACTTGTAACTGAACATTTCTGAACAAGTTGGGTTTTTTTTAAAGATATTGGTGAGGTACAGAAAAATATGATTAACTCTCCTCATGTGGGTGGTCGGAGGGCGCCACTGGTAGGACCAACTTTTTTACTTTCCTTCTGTTGTTTCGGTCTGTTTGTCTTACTTTTTTCCAGTACTACATGACCATGTGGGTGGTTAGCGGGTGCTCTGGTGTGGTTCCTTCTTTCCTACCAAACATCTATCGTCCTTATCTCCCCTTCTTCTTTTTTATATTTGTTACTGTCCTGTAACACCTCTAATCTTCTGGTGCTCTTATGACCTTATGCAGTTACGAGTGCCGTAAAACTCTTACTAAAACTACAACTACATAACCATTATTGTATCAATGTGCTTCTCTTACTCAAACAAAGAACTCTCCTCAGAACAAAGCAGCTCTTCCCTACAGCAGATGACAGATGAACTAACGGCCTACCTACAGTCTCAGTCAAACTTTGTGCAGCCTAAAGCTTCACTTTCCACTAGTCCTTCCACTGCTGAGGGTGAGATAGGGTTTTATTTTCTAGACAGGGAAAATCTTTGGCTTTTCGTTAATATAAGAGTACATTTTTTCTTATCTTTAAAGCATTCTGAATGTGTTGACTTAATGTTTAATTTCAAGTCCCCTTTGTCCGTTTGGCTGACTAGGGGAGAATTTTATAGCTGTAAGTCTGAAGTGTATCCACAGCTGTAGATGATTTTTTGCCTTCTCTGTTCTTTTACGTACCGCAGAAACTGGTTCTTCAAGTCAGAAAAATAGTTTGTATTTGTAGTTGTTTTTTTAACCTATAAACAATGATAACGTGAACTCATCTCCTGTTCCCTTTTTATATGAGTCAGGTGTAAGGCTATTTTCACTTATAACACATTCTGTTTTATTTCAATTCTTAGATTAAAGTTGAATTGATTGTTTTCTTTTCAATCACATTCACAGGAACTCCTCAGCAGAACAGCATAGTCCACAGTGATGAATCGAGCAAGAACGATTCCACGCCCAGAAATGTCCCTGACAGCACAAAAGACTTGAACCACAATTGTTTGAAGAACCAGCAACAGAGCGTCAGTTCTAAGAATACAAAAAACAAAGCCTCCAGATCACAGGGCATTCTGAGAGACGCAAGCTTTGATGAGGAAGAATCTGTAATGGAGAACGAAGTGCCTGGTGATGTCACTACACCGAGAAGGGCAAGGCGGCAGCAGGTCAGGAAATAAATGAAGTTCATGTGAAAAATCATTCAAATATCTTTGTACTTACTATGAGACTATAAAGGAAATCTCATCTAATATAGCAATAATCCCTGAGCTTAACTTAATCCCACTGATAGCTTTTGCAGAGAGACACAGATTGTGAAGCACTTACTGTAATGTATTGTACCCCTTTACAGAAGGTGGACTGAGGAAAATAGAGCTAATTACCTTTCCTATACCAAAATCTTACTTCACTTTGAATGAAGTGCTGTACTTAAATTCCAATCCAATGACTGGCTGTTTTTGAAAATTTTGTCAGACCTGTACTAATGAGAAATGCCCAGTTTGTATAAATCATTTTACGCTACCAACAGGAAGCCTGTATCATGAGGTGAGAATCATAATTATCTAAGAATGAAAATATGTAAACTCCTGTTGAGACCATCTCAGTGAAGTTACTTTTGGAAAAAAGATTGATTAACTATTACCTGGAGCAGTTTATCATTATTTATTGAATAAATAGGATAGATATGATTTTTTAAATTTTGTGTCAGAAAGTTTGAGCAGATTGATTTGGGTTGATGTCTTTTTACCATTTTGGAACTTTGGGGGGGAGAGGGGATATATCATTCTACATTTATGATTTGTTAAATTCTGGCTGAATTTTCTCCTGTACCCAGCCCGACTTTTCTTATGATTTTATTAAATGGTACAGTGCATCAGTCTTTAGAAGGTACTTGTTTTGCTTGCTTCTTTGTAATTTGAATTTCATGTTTCTCTTCCCCTTTCAGGGCATCATGCTGGCTGATGTCATGGACTCTCTGGATCACTTCCTGGATGAATCAGAGTTATGGGCCCTGTGCAGAGAAAGTATACTTTGTCTGCAACGAAAGAAGAAACATTTACGTAAGTTGAAAAATAGCCTATATTCCCATCAAATACCTGGTTAAGCTTGGTAATGATGAACTGTTCTGCCCTACCTATTGGATAAATGGCTGTAAGAGAAGAGACAAAAGTCAAATAATATTGAACACAAGCACACACACGTACACGCGCATGCACACACACACACACACACACACACACACACACACACACACACACAAATCCAACAGAGTACATTCTCTGTTCAAGCAAACAAATATAATATGCATTATATACACACTCACACATACTCTTTGAATGATTTTGGTTTTTCGGTATTTATTGACCCAGAAGAGACATCTGAAAATGCTGTGATGAAGGGAGAAGTTGAATTGTTTCACCAAAACACACTGGAAAATTAACTAACAAATTTGCCATGGTTAGAATTATATCCTCTCTCAAAGCATATATATAATATTTGATAACGTGTACTAATCTTTCATTCACAAAATGTTTGTGTTTTCATTGCAGCTGCATATATTTCACCTGACACAGTAATGGTTCGGGAAAGTGGAACTATTGGTTTCAAGGCGATCCCAGAGGAGAAGCCCCTAGAAGTTATTTACATGGCACCTGAGCTACAACAGAAAGGAATACTCAATGAAAAGGTATTAATTTTGAAATTGAAGCAATGCGACTATTGGCCAATTTTGACTATTATGGAGTAAATCGTCCATATTCTCACTGAACTTGCACCTTGTGTGGAATTCAAAAGAAGCTTATAATTCTCATTATAAATTACTGTGTATGTGTGTGAGTGTGTATATAATGCGTATTATATTTGTTTGCTTGAACAGAGAATGTACTGTGTTGGATTTTTGTGTGTGTGTGTGTGTGTGTGTGTGTGTGTGTGTGCATGCGTGCGCGTGTACGTGTGTGTGCTTATGTTCAATTATGTGACTTTTGTCTCTTCTCTTACAGCCATTTATCCAATAGGTAGGGCAGAACAGTTCATCATTACCAAGCTTAACCAGGTATTTGATGGGAATATAGGCTGAAGAGTGATTTGTTCTTTTCAAGTGTACAGTCGGAAACTGTTCAAAACAGCTACCGCTTTTTGAGGAGAAAAGTGGATGTTATGAACAGTTTCATTATATCGTAGAAAAAAAGTATAAAAGAAGTAGGAAGGGGTCGTTTGTACAGGTGATTGTCTTGGATAGATGGCTGTCACAGCAGATTTGACCGTAGTTACTCTCAGCTTAGCATCTTTACTTCAAAATTTGACCCCCTTTTTTAAATGATTTGTTTCATCTTTGCTGTGTAGGTCTTATTACTATAAATGCTAGCTAACATATTGTAATATGGAAAGGTCAATTTGTACACCATTCTTTCATTGTTGATCTGATATAATCTAGTTTTTCCTTCTCATCTTCAGACTTGTCTGTATGGCTTAGGTGTGACTGTGAAGAGTGCGGCTGGGGGTAAATATTCTTCCTCACTGGCAGTCCCTGATGGAGAAGCCCTGGACATCCTGGTGCAGTCTTTCCTCTGTGTAAACCCTGACAAGAGGCCGGATCTAGAGACTGCAATGGAGGTATATTGATACCCGTAAATTAGAGTAAATAACTCTGTTTTGAGCACCTCACCCTTAATGTTGTTTTAATTTGGGTGGTATATTTCTTTGAAAGAGCAAAGTAAGGAAATTGAAATTCCTTATCTTTAGGACAACCCTGCAAAATTGTCTTTAAAAGAACCAAGAATCATTTATGAATTAAGCAAACTTAGTTTTCAGTTCACTGATGTCACAGACAAATTTGGATTACTGCTGCTGGCCAGTGTGTGATACTCAGAAGGACAGAGCACCATAAGCACTGTCCAAGGCAGACTGTCTTCATTTTCTTGTACTTAAAACTTATAGGCCTGTTTCAGCTCTTCTCTTTAAGATTTTGCTGCGTGGTGCTTTGTATGTACAGTCACAGGACAGCTTACAGCCCTGTTCCTTAAGTGTTTTTCATCCAGGATTGATTTGAAATAAGATCTGAGTCTGAATAGTTGTCGGAGTGGATTTTGACATTTCATTAAACTGAATCAATAGACCTTAGTCTTGGAAAAGTGACTTTTGAAACTTGACATGTTTTCAGTTGATCAGTTATTACATTGGACAGTTATGTCATGACAAATGTTCAGAGAATGCTTCCTGATACTCCAGACTTTATATGAATGGTTGCAGCTGTGACTTTCTTTCTTCCTCTTTTACAGGTAGTAGGTGGGAGCTTTGATGGTGTTTACTCCTTCTTTCCTATCAAACATCTGATGTCCTGATCTCTTCTCCTTCTTTTTTTTGTTTGTTACTCTTTTGTAGCACCCTTAATCTTTGGCAATTATGTGACCTCATCGCGATGCAATTGCCGTAAAAATTTACTAGAACTAAACTTTCTTCTTCTTTTGTTTGTGTGTATTTATTTTCACATTTGTGAATGTGTGTGTGTGTGTGTGTGTGTGTGTGTGTGTGTGTGTGTGTTTGTGTGTGTGTGCGTGCGTGCGTGCGTGCGTGCGTGCGTGCGTGCGTGTGTGTGTGTTCATGTATGCATGCCATGTATTGGGTGAGTGTGCAATACTGTGAGATATTTCAGTACAACTGCTTCTTTGTTTCAGATGTGTGATGAATATGAAAAAGTGAAAAGAAAACATTCAAAAGAAGTCTGCCAGAAGATCTACAAAGATGCTCTAGAAAGTGCAGTAAGTTTCATGGACAGATCGTTGTGACTACAATGTTTTGACCATTTTACTTTCTCATTAGTTTTTCATTATTTTCTGATTCAACTCAGATTCTTTGAAAATGGGAAGGACAGGAGGAAAAATTATTAGGGAAGACAGGGAAAGCCTGAAGACAAATGAGAACTCAAAACGAAAACTGAAAAAATCTGAGGAATCATTGCATTGCTGCAACTGTGTCGCTGGCCATGACATACCAATCTGGATTCTGTGAATAAACCTCAGAAAATGATACTGCCTCTTTCACAATAAAACTTTAAAGTGCCCTGATTCTTCCAGTACGATTGCAGGTGTGTTTTTATCCTCTAATTAATAACCTCAAGATGCATAAACATTGGGTTTCAGTTGCTCATTCTTAACGCAGCAGCCATACTATCCCAAAAGAGAAATGGCTTCTACACTTTCAAATTTATGGAACAAACTTAAATAGAAATGCTTTTAAGTGGGGCATGTGAGTCCTTACTGATCTTGCAACGTCCATTTTGTCTTTGTAGTACTTATGTTTACAACTTATAATAGCTTCACTTTTACGGTCTGCTTACTGTGACCTTTTTTCTCTTGTGTTTCAGTCATCTAACAAGTCAAACCAATCTTCTACTTCTGTAGATCTTCAAACACATAAGGATAGCAAAGCTCACCCACAGGTACAGCTTTTAGGATTATAACTTAGACATGTTGTATGAGCTGGCATGTTGAAAATAAAGAACACATTATGAGTTAATGTCCAGGTTTTTTTGGGGGGGGAGGGGGGGGATTCTTGTAAGTGTTTTTCGGTGCTCGCAGCTTGGTGACAGAACAACAGTCATTTAATTTAATACTGGGAATAGGAAAGTGGAAAGCTTTGATAGAGGGGTAGCTGAGCAGCTGTCAGGTGTGAAATTGTATGTAGTCATATTCCAGTATTATCCATAGATAAAAGGTATTGCTGAACATTCCAAGCAGATCAAGATAGAGTCTGTTTGTAAATATTTATTGGGATACCTCATAACTCAAGTAATAGTTGTCGTCTGAAATCACCCAGACTTGTCAAAAGGAAAATCAGACTTATCGAAAAAGTGTTGTATACTGTGAATGGAAATTTTTATGTTTTTAAATTATGTTTAAGGAAGGTAAATGCAGTTCTATATCTATTTTTACAGAACTCTTGGGACGAAGTATCATCAGACAATACACAGTCTATAGCCCACGGGAACCACTCTGAACTGGAGGACAACATTGAAGACATTCCATTTGATGACAATGTTGATGACACCATCAGCCCAACTTCAGCCTTCAAGAATGTAGGCGTGAAAAACCCTGTGGAGCAGATACCTCCTTCAGCTTTCAAACCTGTTGCTGTGAAACCCAAACCTATTAAAGATCAGTACAGAGTCCCCAGTGCATTTTCTTCCCCGGCCACCCATTTCAAGCCTATTGTAATCCATGAGAGCACATCAAATCCAAAAGACTCTATGAAGAATGAACAACTAGAATCTACAGTCACCTCCACAATGAAGGAGACAGATGTTGTGGCTAAACTTAGGGAAATTAAACACAATCTCCTCAAACATCGAACTACTGAAATATCTGGAAAAGAGGAGAAGGAAGTTCCCAAACATGTGAGTAGATCAGGAGTAGATCAATCAAAGGGAGATGCTGAGAATAATCATGTGAGACCAGCTGGAGAGGGCTCGTCAGACATTGGTTCAGCGCTCAAAGAGTTACAGTCACAGGGACAACTACCAAGTACAGATGTCCTTGCAACAGCCATTGCACAGTATCTGCGCACACACATCGTTGGTGCCTCAGCCAGTAACGAGCCTGCTTGTAGCACTACACAATCATCAGGTCAAACTGAACCTGCTCCAGCATCTCTGACTGGCAGTGTGACATCCACACGCACAATGCCAGCATATTCTGTGGAGAGTCTTCAGCAACATCCTTTACACAGTATACACACCTCTCAGCCTCACGGTGGTGGAAGCACAGTGTCTACCACCGCTACATCCATCAATATGTCTCTACAACAAATGCCCTTATCAGCCTCCACCGTCCCACAACAGTCTCAGCAATATACAGGTACAGCACTCACAGGAACAAACAACCCTTTCCTCCCCACTACAATGAGCTCAGCCCAAGCAGCTCCTGCTGTAAGTTTGACACACCTTCCTGTGCCTTACCAACTTCCTACCTCCAGCGTCTCACCAAGCAACATGCATATGACAACACCATTCTCAGGTGTACCACCTGGGAATGTACCTGTGCAATTTACTCTCATGCAGGACCCCGTCACTGGTATCATGCAAATGGTTCCTGTTCCTTACATTCCTTTCTCTCAAACTTCATCAGCTCATTCCGTTTCTCCCAGACATAGTGAAAGTTCTGGTGTTCTTACAGGAGCTGGGGCTAGTGTGCTTCCAGGAACAGGGGCCCGTTTATTCAGTATGGACAGCATTAATGCAAGTGCAGAGCAGAATTTAAATTCATCAGCAGACTCGGGAAAACTAGAGAAAGGAGCGAAAAGAGCCAGTGATGTTGACAATAGGAGACTTCAAAAAAATCATGACGCAAGTTTAGCAAATAACGATTATCCTCAAATGGATAGAAAAACAGATAGGATAAGGCAGGCACAACCACCAGGAGAAAATGATTCTCAGTCTTCATCTCCATCTCCGTCCAAAGATTCAGGCATTTGTCTGACACAACTAGCTGCCTCAACGAATTATAACAATGACTCTTTAATGGAGCGGTTGTTGAGTTCTGAAAATTCACAAAGACAAGGAACACTGTCTCGTGTTGTTAGAATTCTTAGAGAAGAATTTGTAGAAGATGGAATGTTTGATACAGGCGTTGAGGATCTTGCTATTGGTGAGTAGAAGAGTATCGTGTTTTCTGTGTGAGAATTTATAAGCTTGTTGAGTTTCAAAGAAAAAAAGTCACTTGTTGAGATGTGTCATGCAATGTATATTTCCTTACATTTATCTTGGGTTTTACCTTTACCTTTCAATAGCCTTTGGAGTCAGAAGTGTACAGAAAATTTTATTGAATTCTGCCATTGTAAACGACCAAGACAAATTTCTCCCTGCGAGATGAATAAAGATTGTCATCGTCATTGTTAGACATCTTCTCAGCAAGATACTTTATCCATTGTGGCCAGTTAAAATACTGATAAGAAGTCCTCTAACAGTTTTTTCTTGACTTTACATAAGGATTAAGGGTTCATTGTATAGTGAATAAATGATATTCCTCAAATGTTCTTCACTTTTTTCCTAAGTATTTGGCCGAATCAATGTCTCCTTCTCCTTTTTTTTGTAATAAGATTTTTTAATCCTTAATATACTTCAGTGAAGTTCATATTGTTACTTATATTGTTTCAAAAAACATTTCAACAGTTTTCACAAATTACCAACAAGGTGGTTAGAGGACTTCAGTGGTAGGTTCTACTTTTTTTTGTTTTCCACTGTTGTTTCTGTCTCTCTGTGTAATTTCTCACCAGCATCAAATAACCATTATTTAGTTGATGTTCCACTGTTTACACAAACTCAAACTTCGTTTCTTCGCATGTGGAAAGCAGGGGGTGTAAATGTGGATGGTTTGAAGGCACCACTGGTAGATCTTACTTCTTTACTTTCCCTCTGTTGTTTGTCTGTTTGTCTTACTTTTTTCCACCACTAGGTGACCAATATTGTGTCAGTGCAGTGCAGTGTGCTTCTCTTTACTCAAACAAACAAACGAGTAAGTCTTTATAAGAGTATTAATTCAAACATTTCTATTTTACAATTGAAACACAACATTGTTCATTACAGCCCCCTTTGTTTTACTTTGAAAATTTCAGCTGAGTACATCCTTGCCCTGTCGTCATTGTCATGGGACACGTTTTGCAGTGCAGTTACAGAGAAATATTTCCACCTGGTTTGGACATATGACCTGTTGTCATCCTTGTTTGATGCAATAGGAGGAGGAAAGCCCTCAAATTTACAGTAACTAAATACTTTTTATACCTTTTTATTGTTGTGAGGGGAGTTAAATATTCATTGAAAGTATTAGGAGCACAGCTCTACTTTTGTTCCCCCCAAGTTTCTCAAGAGTAGACCTACTATATTGGGAAGTTGTAATGCAGGTTATCATATGCAAGCAATGTGTCATCCTGCCAATACTTTGGAGAAAACTGTATTTTTACAGGTAACTGATCTTAATTGTTCAAAATTTGAAGAGGCATTCCCATAATGTTTTTCTACTTTAACTCTTTGTACACATCGTTATACTCTTTACATTCTTATATTTCTTGCTGGATTACACAAAAAAATTTGGGAATGTAAACATGTACAACTACATTTTTCCTGATTTATCAAATTTGATACCTTAGTTTGTGTATAAATTAAATATTTGACTGATTATGGACTATTTATCAATTTGTTGGGGTTTTTTTTTTTTAAGTAAACAGGTTTGTCAAATATTTTGAACAGTTTCATATGTTTAGTTTCCTTAGGAGCTGCAACACAAAAAGAAAACGTATGTACTGACTCTGTTTACATTTCATACTTTTGTTACAGCTTCAACTCAAAGACGCTGCCTGCCAAAAAAAATAGACCATTCTCCCATAGATCAGTTGGTGAAGCAGAAAGGAAACTGCGACAATCAGAACCAGATCTTCAAAGTGCCATCAATCAAGAAGTTGAATATGGGAAAGGTTCACACCAAGCACCTCAACATCATGGACACAACCTAGGTCTTTCTGGAGATGATAAACGCCTGTCAGGACTGAGACCAAAATCCGAAATTGGAAGGCGACGGGGTATCTGGAGTGAAACATCTGATTCCACTGATTCAGAGGCAAGAGACAAAAAGAGACGGTTCAAGAAACGTTGTGAGCTTGACAAGTCAAAAAGTTCTTCAGTGCATAATATTCCAGCTGGAAGCTTTTCTTCTGTTGCTGAGAATACTGGGATGAAAACCGAGGCCTCTCTAAGTGGAGATGTTCAACATAATGATAAGAATCTGAACAATCCTAGTGTATTCAGCAAAGATTATTTCCAAGCAAGGCCAAAATCCAATGTCCCCTCCACACATTCTGGTACAGAAAACACAGGTCTATCTTCATCCCCAAATGTTAGCCTCAATAAGCGCCCTGGTCATGGATCAAGTACAGTCAGTCCAAACTCTTCTATTGACAGTCCAAAAGGGCTACGGGGTAGTGGAAAGTATGCACGTCCTCCGTCTGAGTTTGTTGATCAAAATCAAGGACACTCAACTCCTGTGTTACCGTCTAAAGGCCTGCCCAATAGAATGCAGCAACCTCTTCTTGCCACAGCTGCAAACAATGGAAGGCAATCTTCCCACCACAGGAGTGCGAGCAGTGATCATCCCCAGTCAGCAAACTCAGGCTTTCTGTCTCCCTCATCCAGCCAAAACAACCCCATCTCATCCTCCCAACTGCTTGTCAAAATAGACTATGCTCATTCTAGTTCTTCCAATTCTCCAGAGGAAGAACGTAGTAGATCATATCACCTGTCCTCCTCTGCAGGTCTTATAAAATCAAAGACTGTTTTGTCAGAGTCTGCAGCTGAAGTTGCTGATTCTTCATCAAAGTTCACTGATAGTCAGAGCAAAAGAACACCTGCCCCTACAGCTCCTGTTCTACGTGGTGGACGTGGCAGATATGACCATAGTGATGGTGGGAATGACCAAAGCTCAGACTCTGACTTTAACACATCTGCAGAAATGAGAAGACTGTCTGCAAAGAAACCTGAGCTTTTTGATGATAGAAGAACATCCGGGTATTCAACACCAATTGATAGTATGAAGAAGTTGAAATCTCCAAGCCAGCAAAGCAGCATCATTGCCCACAGTCACCTTCCGCAACCATTTCAAACTAGACAGAGAGTCCCACCTCCAAATAGTAATGTCGACACGAGGCACAGAAATTTCAATTCCAGCAATAGCTCTAGTGGTTTTGATACTCCAAATAAAAGATTTAGTGGCACTGAGAATTCCACATCCCCTACACAGTATGAACCATCTCAACCAGGGATGAGGACGCGAAGAGATCATGTGGAAGATCAGGGACCCCGTGCTCAGTATGGAAGATCATTGAGTGCTGTCTATTCTCGGCCCTTACATGGCTCTGAAAGTGGAGTGAAAGTGATCGAAAGCTCAGACTACCCAAACTCTTCCTCTCATCACAGGAGAGGCTCAGATGGTTCTACGCAACTGCAAGAAATAAACTGTGCATTGATGCCATACACAAAGAGAGGACAAGTTGTTTACCACTCAGCCATGATACAGCTTAGTCTTACTGCTGAAGTGGACAAGTTTATTCACTCTATAGTAAGTAGCCTTGCTGCACCTCTTATTGAAGTCTCTTTTATTTGGAAGAAAAATATGCTTTTCTCAAATATAGAAATAAATAGAAATTACATTATTAGTAGTAGTCTTTTATTTACAATGACATACAGGATGATACAAATCAAGAGGAATTAATATTCAAAGAAAACAACAAATCAAAAACCATATTTGCAAATAAACAACAATGACTGTTCAGCACAGAACAAGACCCTGTTTTAAAGCTTAGGTTAAAGTGTCTTGCCCGAGGACACATTCCTATAATCCCCCATCTGAAAACTATCTTCCATTTATATTATTTGATATGTCCTTGTGACAAGGGTTCTCTCATCTCTCAAACACCAATTTAAAGTTCTGGGTCACCTTTGGAACCTATTGGAATTTGTCTATTTTCCAATTGCATTGCTGCAGCAAATACATGTACTGGGTAACCAATCATTTCGTCTCATGATCATCTCGTCACACCTCAATTATATGTGTGACAAAATGACTTCGCTTGTATTATAGATTTACATTTCTCCAAAATTGTTATGCCTGTAGAGTTTTGGAGGACCAGCCTAAAGGTTATTTTTTAAAGTTATATAAATTATTAAAGTAAATTAAATCTTTGTCCAAACTGTTCCATAGTTGAACATTAGTTTAAATAAGGCAAAAACAATGTCTGGTAAAGAGTTAGTAAGGCTTTGTGTGAAAGTAAGGGTCTAGGCAGTACTGTACATTTTCATTAGCTTATTTATTTGATCTTGCCAATCACACCTTTCATCAATAATAATACCTAAAAACTTTGTTGATCTCACTCGACAGATTTCAACATTGTCAATACTTATATTTATAAACAGTGTAGCTGATCAGGTAGGCACGACGATTGGCACAGCCCCAACCCTCCCCCAAAAATCGTGATTTGTGATTGCCAAGACAATGTGCGTTTGATGTTTGCAAGTGTGCTACGAAATGACCGTTTCCTTTCAACCTTGTGGGTTTGGGGTGTGACGAGATGACTGTGACGTCTTGACTGCACCGGTGTGACGAAATGACCGCGTGATGAAATGATTGGTTTTCATGTATTGTAATATGGTTTCTTTACTGTTATCATATTGTTGCTATTATTTAATCTGAAATTGCTGTTGTGTTGGCTTATGTATTTCATCTGGTCATGAATTTGCTCTGTTGCCGAATTGTAACGCTTACCTTGGTTTTGTGCTGTTTTTGTTTCTTTCTTGTTTCTTCAGTGGAATGCTGTTTTGAAAACCTTTCTCATATCTCAGTGGCTGGTTGGCGGGTGCTCTGGTGTGGTTTGCTTCTTGTTTCCTATCAAACATCTATCATCCTTATCTCCCCTTCTTCTTTTTTATGTTTGTTACTCTCTTGTAACACCTCTAATCTTCTGGCGCTCATATGACATTATGCAGTTGCGAGCGCCGTAAAACCTCTACTAAAACTAAAAATCATATCTCAATTCTTTAGAAACCACAATTCAACTTTTCACCTTTGTCATACTCCATCAGGATGAGGAAAACAAGCATGTCATAGAAAGTCGTCTTGCAAGCATCAATCAAGAAATTTCCATGCAGAGACGAGAGAGGAAGAAAACCCAACGCTTTTATAGAAAGTTGACAGAGTCTGCAACATCATCAAAATCTGGAAGAAGTGAGTTGTTCATGTTCATAATCTTTCAAATAATCACATTTACAAATGCCAGTTCTGCGTACTTGGTTAACTTTATACTCCTGCTGTTGAAAGCCAACAAACTTCTTACTCTCTTGACTGATCTTAGTGATCAATTGGTGTTCTTTTGTCATCTTTTGATTCTACTTCTCTTCAGTGATTTTCTTACTGGTTCCAGGAACAGTATAACCTTTATTGAGGAAACTCACCAAAAAATGCAATTCAACATACTTTGTGTGCCAAGTGTTTTATTTTCAGTCCCACCTTAATAAACACTGTCTCATCATTTTAGACAATATTGTTTGAGCTGCACTAATTTACCTCTTCTCTGCCTTGATTATGAAATATATGACAAATTTAGTGACTGCAAGGCAGAAAATGCAAGATGAAGCGAAAAAATGATGACTGCTTTGCACTTTGCTGCGTTATCTTTTGTCTGTTCACATACACTCTTGACCTTTATCTTTTTAGGGGATTTGACAATTCCTAGGTCATCCTGAGAAGGGCTTTCACTTTAACATAATGTTCATTGAGTCTAGAAAGGCATTTAGCATGAACAATAGCATTTTGTGCCGCAGGATTTTCTGTTCACACAGCTTTAAAGGAATGTTTCTCTAACTTTTAGATGGAAAGGCATGGATAGATTATCTGGTGATTTATGCAAGATTCTGAATGGTACATACAATATCAAAGAACAAGGACACAGTGATGAATCATAAACAAAAATCAGTTCATGTTATTTGAAAACTCCAAAAGCGCTCAGATTACTAAAAAGTTAAAATGGCAAAAGCTTTTAAAGAGAACAGTACACCAGCATCTGTAGTGGAGCAGTTAGGCGCTTTGCAGTCACAACTAAGAGACCTAATTTCAATTTCCAAGTGAGGAGATACTTTTTATTGAGTATCTTCCGCTGGGTTGTTGTATCCTTTTTCAGCCTGTGTTGACCCTGACAGGCAGGGTCAGGAGCATAAAAATGCCTACTTTATAAAAAAGAAAATTAAAAGATCGCTGCACTTAGTTAATGTTTTCATAGCAGTGCTTTGCAGTGAGCAACTCTCACTGAGACGGTAGATTGAAGTGAAGGCTTTTGATTCACACAAGTAATGTACCCATTTTAAAAGATTTTGTTTATATTTTTTCTGTTAGAGGTAACATTAGGGTCAGTATTGTATTTCTCCATCTGATGTTTTGCTGTTTTGTTGTTTTTTATTAAGGTGATCAAAATGTCAGTGATCAAATGCTGAGAGATATGACAGACATGACAAGGAAATTGTCCTTCCTTCAGCTGTGCCAGACCCATCTACAGGTAATACCAAGAGACCTTTCAAATGAAAATGTCAGGGGCATTGGTTGAAGATTGGTAGACTCCAGTACAGATGATCAAAAGGTCGTGAGTTTGCTCCTGGCAATACACTGTCCTGAAAATGATCTGGCACATTTTGATTATTAGTTTTTTTCTGTGCTTTGCCAACTAAAAAGAGCTCAGGCGTAAGGGATCCTACCTTTAAATTACTAACATCAGGATTAACGCAGTAGCTAGTTTAATTATTATCCTATTTGTTTTTAAAATTTGCTTTCATACTCATACAGTATATATATAATAATAAATATGAAACATATTTTGACACCAGATCTTATTTAACCAATGGATGATAAGGAAATCATTTATTGTCTTGAGTAAAAAAAAAAATTGTTTGCAAAAATCAGAACAACGAGAATACAAGCGCAATTATGTTAAAATTCCTTATCCTAAATAAGGGAAGCATCTACATAATGTCAATTGTTTTTGTTAACTGATAATTAATTTGTCAGTGTTATTCTTCTTGCAGATGTTGCTTGCAGAACTGAATGGACTGGATTCCTGTTTTCTATATTCTCTGAGTGCATCGGAAGGAATGGGTCCCTTAAGTCTTCAAGTTTGCAGGGAGAATCCTTATCTCCAGGTAAAAGGTGTTCAGATATGAGTATTTTTAGCTCATAGTGTTCTCCATAAGTTTATATCCCCTGGTATGCTTTTCTGCACACTTATCTACCAAGTATCTTGGAGCTCTTGCTATAGCAATAAGTACTATCCTCCTTGGAATATATCAAAACATGAGCAATGCAGGATGTTTTTTTCTCCAAGTGGAATGAGGTGGAGCTTGTAAAGGGTGACATTTTTCTGATGGCTGTGAGAGGTCTAGCCGGACTTAAATTGTTTTGTTTACTTTTCTTATGAACAATTCTGAAAAGGTCAGATGCAGGCCTATATCTGGAATTGCTCATTTTCTCCATCCATGACAGACAAAGTTGAAACAATCCTATATTTTCATAGTGTCAACTTTAATAGGTTCCTGAATTTAATGCAAACTACCCTGAGTGCTTTTTCTTTTAATTTTCAAATTGAAAGGGAAAAAAAAGATGCAACAATTGCAAAGGAAAGTTAATCAGTTTTTCAACTTAACGAGTTGGATTAATTAATTTGTAAAGCTATGATACACAAGCAACTTGGTTTCACCAGGATTATTCATGTCGAAAAACACTTGCACAGTTGGATTGAAGCAACAGGTATTTTGTTTATCATCAACATGGAGAGATTCTCAAAACTAGTACAAATAGGGGCTGTGATGTTTTAGTTTGAAAATTAAAAGAAAAAGCCCTCAGCGTAGTTTGCATCAAATTCAGAAACCTATTAAAATCGATGTTATGAAAATATTTTAGGATCGTTGCAACTTTTCAAGCCAGCCATTTGAGAATGGTTTACTTTTATTTCAGATTACAGCTTTGCTGTGAAATTAGAATTTTCGTTTGTCAGTGCAGTATCATTAACAGATGTGTGAATGTATGAGACAGACAGATAGGCAGACAAGCAGACAGACAGGCTGGCAGGAAGATAGGCACACAGACAGACAGGCAGAGAACATGTGCTACTGATATGACATCATATAAATCAGTTTACCAAATCATGTAAAACAACTGAACTGAAGACATACTTCTTTGTCCCCAGTTTCGTACAATTAATACACCAAATGCTGGCAAGATGTCGATACTCCAGGCAGGCACTCCTCGTGGGCTCATGTCGTATTTGTACACATCGTAAGTATCTAAAGTCATTTACAGTCAAACTTGTCTAAGACAGCCACTCATTGTTGAGGAGAAAAGTGGCTGTCTTAGACAGGTGAGCATTTTACACAGCCTCATTTTAATGTTTTTAAAAATGCTAGAAGGGGAATGGAAAGTGGATGTGATAGTCTTATACAACTGGCCATTAGAGCAGGTTCAATTGTAGTTGCATCAACTTGATGAGAATTGTGTGTTGGGTTATTGAAATATTAAAGCTACTCACATAATGCCCTGTCTTTTTTTTTTTTTTTTTGTTGGCAAATCTTCCCTTCTGTAGCTGTCTTTTGTCTCTTCTTCCCATGAAAACAATTGAAGCTTATTGTATTGTATTGTATTGTTTTGTATTCAGCTCTAGATTTTAAAAAGGAAGCAAGTATACATATGTTTGCTGGACATTTTGCTTAATTAACTGCCTCAATTTTGTAAGATATTTGTAAGTTGCTCTTTTTATTAGGCTATAGAGCTGTTCTTATTATTTCTTGATATATTCTGTCATACATTAAACAGTAGTCCATCTTTTGGGAGTATAACTCAGAAACAAGTCAAAATTGTTAAATCGTTTCTAAGTAGCCTGTAAGTTATCAAAAGCTGAACCTTTAATTTATTGTCATACCTCACCTGCAGCTATTGTTTTTCAAACTTTCAGGTCAGCCTTGAGTGATGGATATATTCATCAGTTTCTGTTGTGCTTCCGATATATCCTTACTGCTGAGCAGTTACTGACTTTCATCACTGAAAAGTACAGATCAGCTCAGAGGTATTTGTTTACAAGTGGATATTATATAATACTTATAATACTAATGGTAATCATAATCATAATAATAGAGATTCTAATTGATGTTTTATGCATACTGGTCCATTCAACTACAACAATTCTTTCAAATACGTATACATACATAATATAACAATAAACGCATACACAAAAAGACAGTCTCTCAGTTTTGTAAAAAATAAATAAATTGTAGAATGTAAGGAATTAATTGATATCCTTGACGAAGCTATTAAGAAAATGAAAATAGTCATAAATTTTATGAACATTTATAAATCCATTCAAGTAGTGATCATAAAAGTGTTACCTGAAAAAACAAAGAGACAAAAGTAGAAGACTGTCCTCACTTCAAAATATGATGGGAGAAATAATGTAAAAGTGGGTTTGTTTTATTTTTATTTTTACTGTAGAAAAAAAGTGCAAAAAGATTTGTTCCCCCTTGAAATAGTCAAATTTAATGCTGTCTGCAAAATTCATTATGTTAAGAAGTGGAATCATTCCATGCTGTTGTATTTTCCAGTGGTAACCAAGAAGATCCAAACATGAACAGGATATGTCGACGCTCTCTGGACTTTCTGCTCTTTTGGATGGAGGGTTATTACTCGATTGACTTTGCTCCAAACACCAAACTTGTGAAAAAACTTGCAGAGTTTTTGAAAGAGCAGGTAATATAGCTTGCAGGACAACATTTTGTGAAGTACTAATACTTGTTAACTCATCTACATACTCCTTCCAATGTTTCCTGTAAGTGGTTAAAGTAAAGTATCATCAGCGGAGTAACTCAAGTATTTAGGGTTTACATTTTACACTCTCATATCTTGGTCTGAAATTCAATCTTTGCTGTGGTGCTTAACGTAACAGTCAAAGACTGATTTTTTTATGGTAATGTATTCAATCGTGTTTGACACAGCCACTTATATGCTTATTATGAAAAAATTAAAACTAGACTTGAGAAGATAAAAGTGAAAAATAAAGAATTAAAAATATATGTCTGTGTGGGTGGAATGGCAGACAGAATAAAAGATTTAAACCATATTCGTATTTTCTAAATATTTATAGTACTGGTCTTAATTATCGCAGTTAAATAAATGAGTCTCGTTTTAAAAAATAAAAAAAATGAATACCCTTTAACAGTTATGTTAATGCCACAGCATGTAAGTTTGCAACAGGATTCCCAGCTAGTACAGAACCAAAAATAGTGCAGAAATGCTTGACGGAAAGTGTAAGTCAAGCTCAAAAGTGTCATAGTCATAGGGCTCACTAATTGTTTAACAATGCTAGATGTATAAGTAAGGCTCAGCATGCCCTTACACTGATGTGGCCATTATAAATAAGACTATATATGCACTTGCTCTGAAGCAACTGTGTTATCATTATCTTTTTCTGTGCAGACTGACAAGAATGCTGATGGGGCAGATGACTTGTTCAACCTCTATGCAGCATGCAGAATGAGTGAAAATGTTGAACTGATGTTAAATACAGAAGCAGAGGAAGATGAAGATGAGGAAAACAATTATTTTCTCCGCATGGTGAATCCAAAAAGGGTACGTTTAGACAACTTCAAGCTTTATTTTGTGATGCGTATTGAGTATATCTTTGCTTGCTTTGTCAGTATTCTTACTATTATTTAGGGCTATATGACGACACAAACTATCATAGATGCATGTATCATTTGTATCACTTTTTAGATTTGGTTTACAGTTGGTTGGGGAAGGACAGGTGTGAAAGGAAAAAAATGGCATATGACTTGTACCAAAACTCATTACAGGACATGCATAGACCTATTTTCTTCTTTGTTTGTAATGACTGTTCCACCAACTAGGTGTATGCAAATACAGGTGAACACTGTTTGGAACCATTTGCCATTCATACCATCTAGAGGATCATAAGTATGCAGATTTTACATCTTAATTAATAATAATTGTTGTTGGAGTACAAAAGGTGCCTAATTTTTATCTCCTCAAAATGTGGTTTCCATTCTTTACATGAACAAGCATTCAGTTTTTAAGTACTATGCCAGAAATGCTCTTTCAGCATACTTTTTTTACTACATTTTCTTTCTTGAGTTTTGCTTTTCTGCTTATGGTGTTTATCTGTTTTCCTTTTTATTATTTTTGAAAAATGTCACTTTATTTCAATTTGAGCTATTAGCCTTTCGAAGTTCATCCTCAGCTTATTCAAAACATCGTTGTTAATTAAGTTATCTTTCCTCATGAGACTTTTAGGCCGAGCCTTTTATTATTTTTATTTTTGGTTATATTGGTCTGGGTTTTGTTATTGAGTAGATTCTAGTACTTTCTAACTTTCAAAATTATCGGGATTCGTAGCATACTCCATAGTAGTGCCCATTTTTGCTTTTCTTTTTGTCCATGCAGCCTCACCAAAACCTTTTTCTACTCTATACTTTTTTTTCTATTCTTACATTAAATATATTCTGTCTCCATAATGGAGTATGTGAAAACATGCTTCTGTCAGCCTAAGACCTTTTTCATTTATGTCTACAGATAGAAGGAGTCTGTATGTGCTTGTGCATTTGAAAGAGAGAGAGAGATAGAGACGGGGGGGGGGGGGGAATAGAGAGGGGGAGGGGGGAGAGAAAGAGAGAGAAATAGGAGCAGGGAAGAAGGGAGAGACCGAAAGAGAAATAGGAGGAGGGAAGGAGGGAGGGAGAGAGAGAGAGAGAGAGAGAGAGAGAGAGAGAGAGAGAGAGAGAGAGAGAGAGAGAGAGAGAGGAGAAAGGGAAAGAGAGAGAAATGAAGGACTTGTCTAGCTTTCAATGTTTTGTTTTGATTGTTTATTCTTCCTTTTATAGTAATTCGTCTGGTACTGTTGTGTATGCATTTTAATGAAGCACACTGTAGTGTATGCAAATGAGCTTGGAAGGGACATTGGGACATTGAGCTTTACGATTGTAAGGAAAACAAAATGAAGAAAGTAAAAAAGTTAATTTCATTAACTGTTAATCTGAGCAAGGTAGCACTGTTACGGTTCTAAAATCACAGTAATGGCTGTCCTTTAAATTTTAAAATCTCACATTTTTATCATAGTAAGTTGATTCTTTTTATTATAGGTTATCATAGGGAAGTAGTTAACTTTGGCAATATTCTTTGCAACAGTTTGAGCTATAGTCTGTAGTTCTTTCTTTGTCTAATACGTTGCACCTTTTAATAGTCAACTTTGCATGTAGCTCATGATCATTTCATATGTTTACCAGTCAAAAGCTGAGCGACTAATGGAGGTAACATTTTTTTTAGATTTTAAGTAAAATTCCTTCTCGCACATTATGCTTTTCATGGCCACGTATCGAAGACTCAGTGGAAAACTCTGTCATTTGTCATTTTTCAAAATGGCACTTGGCGGAGTCTTACACTAAGCAGTGGATATTAGCATAAAACCATACTACCAAGCTACTCAATGGCTATCTACCCATTTTGTTCAAAGTGACCTTCCATTGACATCATTATGTTTTTGCTCATGGTCTTTCACCTTGATGTACAGAATTATGCTTCTAGATGTTAATTGTAGATTTCACTTACAATAATTTCCACTTACAGCGAAAGAGTAAACTGGTAACTCTGTGGATTTGGTGAATCTGTAACCTGACATTGTTTAGAGCATTGTGTTCTCTTCAGTAACACTTTTCCAATGCTGTTTTGAATAGATATAATTGCTGGGTTCTGGTGTTTGTTTTTGATTTTATATGCAATATATATTGTGAAGTAGTTGTTTGAATGAGTTTATACTGCTTTTACTATGTATAATCTTCGCTTACCTTCAGAATCATACTGCCAAAACATTTTCTCTGTAACCGTTTTCAACAGATAGTTTATTCTTTAATTATGTTAAAGTGATGAATTTTTCAGAGTACAATGACCTGTCTGAACATTTTTTACTTCCTAACCTGATGTTGTTTCTCATCTTATGTTTTTGAATGTTGTAGTCAGTTCAATCATCATTTCCTTTTTTTAAAATGAATTGTTATCTTTTCAATTTCACACCTTTCAATGTTCCACTACTACTCTCTCTCTCTTTTTTTCTATCTCTTCTTTCTATCTCTTTCTCTCTCTCTCTCTCTCTCTCTCTCTCTCTCTCTCTCTCTCTCTCTCTCTCTCTCTCTCTCTTTCTCTCTCTCCCTCTCTCTCTCTCTCTCTCTCTCTCTCTCTCTCTCTCTCTCTCTCTCTCTCTCTCTCTCTCTCACACACACACACGCACACGCACACACACATACACACACACACACACACACACACACATACACACACACAAACATACACACACACAAACACACACACACACATACACACACACAAATAAATACTCATCCATCATGTGTGCGCAGGTGTCCAAACACAGGAAAAATAGCACAACTTAATCTAGTGACATGTTCATGACTTCAACGTAAGAAAGAAATCTATTTATTATCATCTTTTACATTGTCACTGCACTAGCACAAAAGCATAACTCAGAGTAATAAAATCAAAACTAAAATGCACTGGCAGTCACAAAAGAAACATGCATGGCAAGTTTTCCATTATTAGAAGTGAAATAGTCTCGTTAAACAGTTTTTTTCCTTTGTTTATGTAAGTGTTTTTCGGGGCTCGCAAAGTAAGTGCATAACGTCATATGAGCGCGCGGGACACTTTAAACATTTTCAGTTAGTAGGAAATTTTGAATTTTGCCCAGTGGCGCCGAAGTCTGCTCCTATCGATTTTGGGACACCAAGGGATCTTTAACGTGCACAACTTGCACACTGGACCTCCGAGATTTTTCGCCCTTGTCCGAGAAGGAGGTGTTGGATCTTACCTGCCATAAGATCAGGGGTGTGGCTGAAATACAGCAGTAAGAAGGAGCCAAGGAGTAGCAGTAGAAAGGCTGCAGAAAGAACCAGGAGCCCAGAGGAGGGGGCAAAGGTGATGAAGGGGTGGGGACAGAAATTGGAGACGAAAGTAGACGACAGAACATTGTTAGAGATCAAGAAAAGAGATGAAAGAAGAAAATTTTCCCATTGCTGTCCGTATTCAAACCCAGGACCTATTTAATGAGAGGCAAACACCATAACCTCTCGACCATGAGAGCCCCCAGTTTTTTTTTCCTTTATCTCAAAAGTACCAAAAATGCCATTTTGCTAGCTCAGTGACGACATTTTGGGATCATGAACCGACGAAAATGCTGACATAAGAAAATATACTGTGTATGCAACACCTGGTACATATATAAGCTGTAGACTCCATTCCCAAACACTCCACATATTCTTTTGCGTTTTACTGCTTTTTGTGTACCCTGACTTTCCTGAACAACTCTGTGTGCACATAAACTGAATTGTCTCTTAAATGGTAGGCCTACATTGTGTACAAGGTATCAATTCATGAATATGTGTTTCAGTGAAACACTCATTAAGGTTCATGCTACGCTGATACATATATATATATATATATATATGGGTTGTGGGACAAAGTAGGAGATAAAAATTTGGAAAAGTTTATGGCAGATTTGTTATAGTACTCTTATTAAGTTGTAAGCTTTCTGTAATATTGACTGAAAGACTGAATAAAAAGTTAAGGATCTGGCACAAGCTGTAGATAAATTGAAAATCCACTTTAAAAAATTCAACGTACATTGAAGTCTGTGTTCTTGTTTGTTATTTTTTGACTATTAAGATTCAAATTTGATATTTCGGGCTTTTGGATGGAGGTTGGTTAGAAGTTTATCGGGTGTTGGGTGGTGCCTCTTTTTTTTCTTCCTTAGAAAAGACTGTTTTGGTCATTTAAAATCAGCAGAAGTAATACCAGATTTAGAATTGAGTTTTGTGTAAACCCAGTGCAAAACTGAATAGGCCTAGATGAATAAACATTTTCACAATCAAATATCTATCATGTATATTACAAGTAATATCTCTATAACATTGTTATGAGATTAGATTAGAGATTTGATTGATGTCTGAAGATCTCCTTTTTCATATAACTTAGTAGAACAATGAGACTCCCATTTTCACTGCCTTTCATTCCCTACATTTAATAAAATCTCTCTTTCTCTTTCACAAAGCGAATGCATTTACTATATTACATAAATCTACTGTAACACAGTTTGTATGTTTCATTTTGAAAAGTATATGGTTGGGTAGATCTCGGGTGTTGCTGGTTAAGTTCTTCTTTTCTATTTGAACGTCATGCTTTTCCCTTTTAATAAATGGTTATATTGTCATCTCAATGTGCTTCTCTTTTTTCTGACCAAGACTTCTAGAGACTAAACTAAACTAAGTTATATGAAAGTGAAGTTAATGTCCTTCAACAAAGGACTTTAATGATATTCATCATTTACGACTCCCATCAAAGAGACATTAGGAAGTATGAGAAAGCATATCATGTACAGAGATAACTGTAGCAACGTTACCAACCATTAATAGTGAAGGCAGAAAATTGCATGTAAGAAAGGCTTTAACCATGCTCTAGAAACACATTTATTTAAATCCTATGTTACTACTAGTTTGATTCTTTTATAAAAATTAAACGTGATCAGTAGTCACAGTGATTGTATTTTTGTGTATGTGTTCTTTGTCAAAATTTATTGTGAAGCGCCTAGAGTCACCAGAGAGTTGGCTCCAAAAAAGTGATATTTACTTTTGTTATCATATCATTATTATTTTTTTTTTTACTATTGTTATGACTATTATTTTTATTAAAAGTTGATAGTACAGTGTTTCTAAAATTTTCCCTGAGATTTCGCTAGGAGCTTACAAAGAGATAGAGAGAGAGAGAGAGAGAGAGAGAGAGAGAGAGAGAAAGAGAGAGAGAAAGAGAGAGAGAGAGATCCTACTTCATCAAAAGATTCACACTAGTTTTTGTAATTTGTTATGTTCGTATCAAGTCTTACACAAAATTTACCTTTCTTGAAGGAAAGTTGCAAGTAGTTTTTTAGTCTGTGTTCTGTGCATGATGAATATATAGGCCTACAAAAGGAAATTTTTATTCAATTAGATTATTATCACACAAAAGCAGTATTTTGAATTGACTTGTACTTCACCATCTTTGGAGTGGAAACAGAAGATGTCGTCTTCTCCTTACAGTCTCAAGACAGACAGTTATTTATCAGATGAATTAATATTTATCTACGCTAGAATGTAAGCCTACTGTAAAATACTTTTAGGGTTCATTGCACATTCACATTCTTGGATTTTTTCTTATTATACTTTTGGGGGTTTTTTGGTTTGTCTGTCTAAGAAAGCGAGGGATACTAACTTAGATATTAATACTGTTTTCTTTCTGCTTTCAGTGGGAGAGCTTCAGATCATTGCTCAAACGCTCAAAATCAGACAAGTCCAAGTACGGATTACTTGCTAGCTCAGCACAATCTAAATCTGACCTCAAAGTGAATGCAGTGACCACAGGAGGTCTGAAGTCTGCCCATCAGTTCTCTGTTAGTGACTGTCCAGTGCACACTCTGGCAGAACAGTTGACCCTACTGGAACAGGTAACAATCATTCCATAGATGGCAAAAGAGTGAAGGGACAATGTTTCTTACTTGCACATTGGTGGCTTGATGGTCACCTCATTGCTCATGTGCATGGACATCCCTTTATGTAAACTATCCACTCTATAATATATTTATAAACTCTTCACTTATGCTGTCAGGTGTAGTGACAGAGCTGTGTACCTTTACAAAAAATATTTAGAACATAAAGTGGTGATCGTGAAATCAGCAATTAAACATGCAACTGGCTTGAGGACTTGAAAGGGAGTGGGGGGTTAAATGAAGTTTGAAATCCTCTGTATAAATGCATTCTCAGAGTCTCTGCATTTTTAGATAAATACAGTCTAAACAATTTGTTTCGTATTGTGAGAAAGGTAATTCAATCAAAACTATCTTGCAGGAGCTGTTTCGTAAAAGTCATCCAGTGCACTTCCTAAACTCCCAGTTTCAAGGTGTGGGTGTTTCTCTCACCATGCCTGGAATGAGAACACCGTCCATGTCCAGGTAAAAAGAAAATCATTCTACGCATGATTACTTTGTAGTTGTATCAATTTAGCAGACTATTATCAGGTCCATTCATACAATTTTTTTTTTTTTAATCTGGAAAACATTCTAAAAGGAAATGGTGTGCTTGGAAAAGGTTTATCTACCCTATCCCTGTACCAATGTCAGAATGTACAAAAGGACCACAGGAATTTTAGCAAGTCGTTGTAATTACTTTTAGTATTTGGCTTTTAGGTGAGTATTAATAAAGTATCATTTTTTACTTCAGGAAAGCTGATTCATCCTCAAGTCCTAAGCGTGGCTTGTTTGTTGGAGAACCAGCTGTGGAGTCGTGGGTAGTGCACATGATCTGTCACTCTCATGAACTGGCACACTGGGTGTCTGCTGAGATTCTGAGCTGTGGGTCACACAAAGTAAGCTTGTGCTAGTAATTCTGTTCAGATGGTATTGATTTGGTGGATAGTGAAGAGCTTTAGTGTGATCTGCTTTTTCTACGTCTTTCTCGTGTTACTGTAAAATCTTCCTACTTTGTTCCTGGCAAATCATTGTTATTTTTGTGTTGATTCAGAATATATGTATGTGGGTGGTTCGCGGGTGCTCTGGTGTGGTTTTCTTCTTCTTTCCTATCAAATATCTATCGTCCTGATCTCTCCTCCTTCTTTTTTATTATTTGTTACTCTCTTGTAACACCTCTAATATTTGGCACTTATATGATCTTATGCAGTTGCGAGCGCCGTAAAACCTCTACTAAAAAAAACATCTATCGTCCTCATCTCCCTTTCTTCTTTTTTATGTTTGTTACTCTCTTGTAACACTTCTAATCTTCTGGCGCTCATATAACTTTATGCTGTTGCGAGCGCTGTACAACCTCTACTAAAAACTAAAAATATATGTTTGCATTCTGCAACTTTTTCTATGCATGATTAAGTTCTCCTGACAAGGAGTGCCAAAGCCACAGCAAGTTCAAGTGTCAAGTCACTATATTTGTTCAAACCTCAGGTACTAGGTATGCTAGTCTGATCTGAATATTATGCTGTTATTCTATTTGAGTGAAGCATTTAGTGCTAGTGTGTTCGTGAAGTGTTTGTTTGCTTGTCACCTTTCACTTTCAGTCCCCCGTGTTGGTTAACATGGTTGCTTGCAACATCACTGATGTGGGAGCCAAGTGCACCTATCAGTTTCTGTGACACTTGAAAAAACACAGGCCTAAAGACCTTGAACATCTTTCACTAGAAAAATAAAAAGTAAAAGAGGCAAGGGTAGACCAAAAACAACTTACAGTTTAGCATACACATAGCAAACATGCACATAATGAAAAATGCACACACAATGAGCAGATTTTAGGTCCCAAGTTTTTTCTGTGCTTGTGTATATTTATTATACATAAATTCATTAACTAGCGAAATTCGTACATAGCAAAATGATTTCTGCGTTCTGCAGATTTTACTATCTGATCCGCACTAAGAGAACTTGGCACAGATGGGTGTTAGGGAAAGACCAGAACAGTTTAGGTTTTTATGGAGCGTCTGAGCAGAGAAACGGCCGGAGAACCTTGGCTGCTGATGCCTGTCTCAATTCTGGCACTCAATGATGATAACTATAGCTCACAAACTTGATGCTCAGATATGGATTAACCGTCCGACCTAGTGCAATATATTTGGTGAGACATAAATGCAATATATTTGGTGAGACATAAACTAGGAGTAAACTCTGGTTTAAGGTCTGCAATGAAGTCCCTTAAGAGGTTAACTGATTCATTCCTTGACAATCCATGCAACTTTTGCAGCAGTAGCCTACTGTGTAAAAAAACAAATAGGTTTTACCTCTCAGCATTCATAGTCTTGGTGACCTCTATAAAAGTGAGTTACACATCGCAGTGTTTTCAACTAATATCTCTCTACTCTTCAGGTCCAAGGTAGTATGATTACTAAATTCTTGACGGTAGCTCATATGTGTTTAGAGGTGCGCAATTTTGCCAGTGCCCTGTCTATTCTCGATGGTCTGGAGAATCTTGTGGTGAAGCAACTACCCGTATGGAAGAACATAAGCACAAAATACTTGGGCTACATGGACTTGCTGTCTGATACTAAGGTATGTATTTTCTCCCGTTTCAAATAGAAAAATATAAATATTTTTAATGCTGTTTAAGAGACAAAAGATCAAAAAGAGCTTAACTTGTTTGGTTTTATGGTTAGCTTGCCCCTGTTGAAAAGGGGTAATGGAAAGTTCTTACGATGCAAAGTTGCAAATTTTTGCCAATTGAGACTTTGGGTACATTTCTGTTCACAATACTTAAGTAAAGGCTTCTGACCTAAGCCTGACTCGCTAAGAAACAGAGAACAGCCAAGGATACTTTTGCTATCAATTTAAAGAGAAAAATCACAATTTCAACTGATGCCTATCAATTTTTATCATGTTTCTGTTTCCGTTATAACAGTCCCAAGTATAGGTTATAGAATAAGACGTTTATACCTAAGAAGGCTGAATAACAATGAATACGTGAAAGCTGTTGGGAAAACCTCAGCATATAGTGTAAATTGCATATCAAATTTCAGATGAAAATCAAGTCAGAAGCTATGTGGCTGATGTCGGAGAAAGACTGCCATGTGTATCCTACCATACCATGTGTTCTGTATGCATCTCTACACCTACAGCAAGTTGAGATTGGAGGATTTACACTGGCCAATGGCATGTTCAAGTGGGACAAAATGAGGTGAGTGCAGATTCAGTACTTGAGAGTGAGAAGACTTGTTGTGAGTGTTAGTGTTAGCATTTCAGTCTATCAGGCTCTTTGATTTCTTTAAATAAGTAGCCATCTATCAAACATATATGAATATGAAGAAGCCCACCTAGGTCATTTGCTAAAAAAAGTAACCAGGGAAAGTCTGAAACAGTTTCTTGGACATTTTAACTTGAATAGACATAAAGTAAAGGCCTTGAACGTCTAGTTCTCACTGGCAAAATTGAAGGCAAATGAGGCAGGTGTAGACTCAGAGCAACCTACTTGGATGGCCTAAACAGGAAATGGACGACGAGAAAAGATCAAGGTAATGTAATGTAGCTTTACTGAGAGAATCCAAACAAAGGAAGGAATGAAGTCACCAATGTCTCACAGATCTGGCACTTGATGGTGATGCGAATCTGAGAACAATGATACTAGGAGGTTGGAACAAAGGCTTTTATTCATTTATGTGAGGGCTTCAAATTAATCTAAAATAGCACAGACTTATCAATAGCTACCTATCACCAATTTGACTTAATGACTTATACCAGTGTGCTTGTGTTTTATAGCAGCCTGTCTCTTCTCTGAGTTTGGCCCCTCTAGAAAATCCAATATATTTTAATACTAGATTTCAAAGCTTCATTCTTACCATTCAAATCATGTATGATATAATATTAATATAATTATTTAGATCTTCTCCTCATAATATTAAAAAATTTTCTACACTTTCAAAAAACACAGCGACTGGTTAAAGATTCAGTCTTACAAAATCGGTTTGATCTCAATCCCACATCTTAAGTGCTAGAGAGGAGTAAAAAAAAATGTTCATGTGGAATTTAGATTTAGTTTTCTGTCTGGGCCATGAATTTTTTTTCATCCTCCGAGAAGAAATTTATTGAAGTGCAGAAAAAAAAAACGACAAAAAATCCTAAGTGAGGTCCACTTTAAATATATATATGCAAATAATTGTGATCAAATTTTTTAATCAGAATGAAAATTCCTATTGCGTCTGTTTTGTTTTCATACAGATCCATAAGTGAGCTTGTAGATCAAGTACGGATATTTCGAGACCATGAGTACGGCTTTGAGCCTGATCCTGAAACTCAGAGAGCATTACGTAGACGACTAAGTGAGTTCAGTGACCAAGACCTCCATGCCGTGGCATCAACTCAAGAAACCAACTTCCGAAGACATTCTTCCTCATCATCGCTGTCTGGGACTCTGAAAAAAGTCAAAGATAAGCTGCATTCCAAGAAGAAGTGATGTCTATGGCCTACTACAATTTCAACTTTAAGCAGTCACAACAGTAACTACTCATTTCTATACAGCAAGCTATTAACAGCTTCTTTCCTACTTCTGCAAAATTTAGACGTCAAATACATGTTGAACATCTCAGTTCAAACTTCATACAAGTATTGGGAATTTAAATTTTATTGTTATCAGGCTGTCATTTTTGTATGTTTTTATAGCGGAGGGGCCTAAATGGACAAGTCATATTTTGGAGGCTGTGGTTGTTTCTGTGCTATCATTGTTGTGTTTACTGAAAAAGAGTATTTTTTTCATGTGGACCTTTTTTTAAAATATTTTATTACACAGAAAAATGGGTTTTTTTATTTTGTCATTTTTGCAGACCAGACAAAGAAATTTTGCAGTTTGGACATTGGGGTGAAGTAAAGTGACCTGTGAAAAAAAATTATGTTTCACAGTATTATTTTGTGTGTAAAGCACAGTCGCTGGTGCATGGTCGAATGATCACAGTTTAGGTTGCTCCCTTTGTATTCATTTGAAGACCAGCTCCCTTATTCACGATTTTTTTAGGGAAATAAATTTTTGATGCCTTTGTTCATGAATGCAAACAGCACAAAAATTTCATCCTCACAAAAAAAAACCCCTCTTTTACAGCACTTGTGAGGTTTTTGTTTTCTTCTGCTTTCTTTCTATTTCCATGAAATTGTCTAGGATTAGGAAGCTCCTTTGTGTGTCACAGTGTATGTTTTTTAGTGAGAATTGACTCAACTCCAACATTGATCCCATCTGCTGAAGGGCAGGTATTTCTGATGTGCTCAGTTTTGTTCACTCCATTTCAGTGTGGCTATTGTTCAAAGCAGGTCCAGGCAAAATGATGCCATTGTCTTGCCGAGTTGCGATAGTAATAGTTGCAACTGGACAACATCTGCTGGAAGAGAAAAATGCTTGCACTTTTAGAAATATTCACGCTTTTATTTTGCCCTCATAACACAAATACTGATTATACAGACTCCAAGTGTTGCAGCATTGACTGGATGTAGCTTTGTGTGCATGTGTTAAATGTTAGAGAGAGACCAATATCATTACTTGCATTAGGGGCATCCTCATCTGATGGTAACAATTTGGGCTTGTCATGAAAAAAGTTGTGGGTCCAATTCGCAGTTTGATCAACAAAGATGCTGTGGCCATTGGGAAAAAAGTTTATCCTGGGGTTTTTTTTTCACTTGTCACAGATGCATATGTACGGGAAATTCACGGAGACAGAAAATATTAAGAGTGGTAGCTGTGTGTACCTTATAGGTTGCAATGATGCAAGTCCTCCAAGGACTAAGACAGACATTAAAAGTGTACTAGCTGACCGAATGAGTTACTATGAAGTCATGTAAGCTTAACATGGAGAGGACACATGACTGGATATAGCCTAAGCATTCTAACTTTATAATACACCGTATAACAACATACAGGGTTTAAAATGTACTCTCAGCTGTAACATTCACTTTCTAAAGTCCCATGAAGTATTTTTACTTTAAAATAATAATAATACATATCTTGGCTAAAGTAAAACAATCAAACACTTGGGTCCAAGGGAATACAGTATACTGAGGTTTTACAGTATTTAGTTCTCCTTACCTCACAGTTAAATGACTATTCTAATCATCGAGTAGTATTAGTAATGTTCTCAACAATAACATTTATTGACATGAAGTGGTGGTTTCAAGTATCATTATTATATATATTTATTTCCATTTTACAAAGCCACTGCTTGTCATCCAGATTCTATGCAATATAACTGAAAGAGGTATAGATAGATTAATGTTTCTCAACCTCCATACATATTATAGAAGACTGCTTACAATGTCAGATTGATTACTATGTATAACTTGTCAAACTTTCAATGAGATGCCAACACTAACAAATTTAATTAATTTACATGTCAGTTTCAATCAAAATGTTGACATATGTATTGACTGTTTTATATATGATGTATTTATAAAATAGTTACATTTCCACACATTATATTATATATATATATATATTTCCCCATGTTGTATTCAATACAACAATATCGCTCGCAAAATCTTGACAGTCGAACTTTCAAATTTTGAAGTGAGCATTATTAAGTTTTCCTTTTTTATGAGACAGCTCGCCGACTTACTGGCATTTTGTTTTGGAACGAGTTAAAAACTATACACAAATTTTTGTGTTTTTGATTAAATCTCATGTGATAAACTTTACTTCTGTTTATTATCACAGGTATGCACAACATGTAAATTTTTGCTTTCATGCTAAGCAATGTTTCACTGACTTAAACACTGTTGGTGTCGTCTAATATTTTTTTCCTTTTCCATAATACCTCATTAATATTAGTAAGTATACATTGTATGATCGTCTTGTCCTTCTATATTATATTAAGCTCAAACACTCAAAGGAAAATTTAAAGTTGTGTGATTGTAATTCTGTGATAATGTAAACAAATACTGCTCCATGGGCCAATGTGTCCCCTGGAAGTCACAAACATCCTCATGTCAGCAATCTTATATTTCACTGTGATACACATCTTGTTTTACTTTGATATCTGCCGCCTGTAGCATACAACTTTCTTTTTTGGGTCAAAAATATAGTTACAACGTCAACATATCCCTAGAACTTGTGTACAGAACCTATGCTGTATGCATCCCATGGGGGTCTCATGATCTGTAGAACTGCATCGTGGGAACAAAATACAATGTATGAATTTGTAAAGCAAATATAGCCTGTATGAATTTATGAAGTAAACAGCCAAAAACAGAACAAGCTATACCTCTTGTTCTAATGTCACTTGGTGGGGACCCAGCTGATTGTCGAATGAGGCGTATTTTCTACAGAACACCAGTCCTGCTGGAATGTATTGGTAGCATAAAATGAGGCATGCTGGCAAAATGAATGACTTCTCACAATCCTCAAAAGGAGATATTTTCCTAAAATCAACACTGAGGTCAACTTTGTAGATTTTCAATTGATGCAACTTTCTTCAAATTTACAAAGTCTTTTATTATTTCTTACTGATAAATTGTAAAAACTCAACCTATAACTTTAATGTATCTTTATCCAAAGGGCTAAAATCCGAGAAGTAACTCATCTTGTCAGCACACTTACCAAATACAGATGAAAGCAGTTTCTGAAAAAGAGTTTAAAAGTTGGAGCAACTTGGCAAGAGATTAAAATATATTCGTTTTGCAAAGTGGAAGAACATGTATACAATTTCAGTTTTACAACTTCGTATCATCTATACTTTATTTTCATCCATGTGATATCATTGTAACATATATTTCCCACTGTCTCAGCAATGGAGCATCAAATTGAAATATACTGGATGTACGGCAAATAGAAATGCATATTAAACTTTAACAAATGGTGAAACCAGAGTTTGTTATATCTTGATACTTAATACTTTTAGAACAAAGCTTTGACAAAATATAACCATAGTTTTGACATAAGCCATTTGACATTTGACAACAACACAGGATACTTGAACCCGCATGTGAGTGTTATCACTTTTTTTAAAAAACATTCAGCTTCTGTTCTTCAAACCTCATCCTCTCAGGCGGGCCTCACATAGGACATGTGGTGAAACGAGAAATTTGAAATCTGAAACGCATGTGACAAAAAAACAACAACAAAGATTTTAATGGCAGCCTACACATAGGACACGGCTTGAAATTTGTAACGAGAAATGCATTTCAACACACGTTGAGGTGAAATGATAAATGTACATGTTCATTTTTAGAGTGGCATGTGGCCACTGACTATGACTAAAGCAGGCCACTCTGGTGGTGACAGCCGACCTCCACCGACTTCCTTCGAAGTTTTCATAAGGAAGGGAACAAATTTGGGGTAACAAAATTTCCTTCAACATTAATTTTATTTAGAAAAAAATATTGTGATATTCAGAATCAGCGTATCAAAATTAACAATGTCCACGCTTAAAAAAACGGTTTTAAAGTTTAGTTCAAAAGATTTATAAAAAGATACTTTGCAGTTTACATGTCAACACAAGAGTCGCCCAACTATAAATTTGGGGCTATCTATTCCAGCTTTCCATAGATCGCTGTATCAGCAAGTAAGCATAGGTCTATCAAACTGGACGATGATAGAAAACTAGTAATTGTAAGTCAGTTAAGCCAAGCAAATGATATGGGACCCTACACATCGAGACTACAAAAAAAGAGATCAGAGGAAGCAAGTCCGGGATTCAATTGATGCACAGCTTGCGTATTCTCCTTTTGTATATCTCAAAAGGAAATGCTCTAGAGACCATAAGCTGCGTTCTTCTTTTTCTGCGCTTTCTCAGTAAAAATAAGATCATCGGTGTGTCTTCATCTGACAAGTCCATTTTGTCAACTGAACTATAGAGAGTACTTCTGAATTGGTGTTTTTCGTTTTGTATTTCACCACATGCCGATCCTATGTGACTGCCTGATGTTTCTAGTTTCACGTTTCTTATTACGCGTTTCACCAAATGTCCTTTGTCAGGAATGTGACAATATATGGTCCAAATCTTTTGAAATGTCCTAAACTGTGTTACAAGAGGTATAAATCTGTATTTTTAAAGTAATAATAATAATAGTAATAAAGATAATAAATGTGTCATGACGTGGTAGAATCAGGCTCTCGTCAATTTTTGGGCATGTAGAGTAATTAGTATCATCGTAAAGCTTGTTCATTTGTCTTGCTTTGGATGAAAAAAATATCCATTTATTTTTATTACAACTCTGGATATTTGTGAATGAAGGAGGTGGGGGTCACCTGGTTTCAGAGGTAAAATTAGTGGGAAAATGGCCGCCAAAGATGAGTTATTTCCTTAGCTAGGGAGTCTGTGGAAACTAAAAATGTACATTTTTTGTGCCTTTAATCAACATTTTTGAGTAAAATCCACACAGAAATGTGTTCTTTATATTAAACTTTAATGTGCATAAAAGGTGTTGAGCTAAAAAACCAAAATTCAATAAAAATTCACAAACCTGCGGGAAAATGCCAGTTTCTTCACTTTTATTATTTTGACGAGCGCCTGATTTTACCACGTTGCCTCACAAATGGCATTTGTATAGCGTATATATCCTCACTCGACAGCAAGTTCTATGCACTTTACAACCTGTATTATTACCCCAGCACAGCCTCAAACACTCGGAAACATTTTTGTCTTCCTGGGAAGTACACGGTGGAAGCAGCCAATTAAGCACTCAAACTCTAACAAACTGAAAAGACCTTTCGCTGTCTACACCCAAGTACCAACTTGCACCTGGATGAAGAGAAGTAAGGAAAATTTGTGTATATGCCTTTCTCAAGGACACAACTTTGGGTCCCTGACTGGGTTTGAGCCCACGACCTTTTGATTGTGAGCCAAACAATATAACTAGACCATCAACACCACAAAAATACTTCTGGAAATACTTTTGGTAATCATAACAATTGAGAATCATCGCAAAATGGCAAAGAGAAAATGGATATCATAACAAATACAGCTCTTATTTTCACAGCCACAGTAAAATTTCTACAAATAAAACAACTTGGTGTAGGCCCTAAAGCCCGTATTTTTGTATAAAGAGCTAGAAATGTTTGAATATTATATAACTGTTGATGCAGTGATCCACCATTCTAAACAAATTCCTCCTTTCAGGGACAAATGGCAGGTTCTAGCACCGCCCATTGTCCCAAAATAGTACAAAGTAAAGTATGAACGTTAAGCTTGAAGTAGGGGGTTTCATGAAAAAATGTTAAAACCATTACAGCAGTCTCCGCCTAAACGCACACCATACAAAAGCACGCTCCGCTCAAATGCACGCTTTCGTCATCTGACAGGTTTTTTACTATATAATTTAGACGTACAAACGCACGGTCACTCCCTCTAAACGCACGCTCCGATCTGCGAAACACGCTGACAGGTAAAGCTTGACTAAGGGAAATTTTCACCGAGTACTGTACGATCTGCACAGCTTGCATAAGGCAAGCCGAGAAAAACGGATATTTGGCGAGACTGCCCCTCACGCTGAACAAAGAGAGTGATGAACAACGTTTTCACACCCAACTTTCCACAGACACATAGGTCTAGGACTGGTCACTGAAATGTTGGGGGGTTGGGGGACTGAAACGTTATTTGATTGGTCACTGGAAATGCATCTCTTTGAGAGAAGGTTTCTGACTGGTGTTTGAGTGACTGCGTGTTGGCTAATGTTTAGTTAGACCTAAGCCTATGATGCACAACACGCGTGAATGCTTGTTCAAGAATTTACGGTCAGGGGCGGTCACTTGGAAAGCCACGTGGCTGGCCCGTCGTCTCTATGACAATCACTATCACCAACAATTTCTTTTTAGGCTATTGGTTCCCAACAATTTAAGGTGCATTCATTACATCGAGTCTGTCTTTCTTCCACACACACCCATTCAACGCCTTTAAAGTCTTAACCACAGTCCGGGAATCTTTTACAAAACAGTCACATGTCGTCACATTATCGGCCCAAAGGGGCCCCCACCCCAAAGGGAGGTCACTAGAATATCAAGGCAATGAGATAGATGACTGCGTCCCTTCCTCCCTTTGCTAGGGTTCATGTAAACGCACGCTCCGTATAGACACACGCTAAGGAGCCCCCCAAGCACCGTGCGTTTAGGCGGAGACTACTGTATCTATCTACGACTCTCTCTCTCCCTCTCTCTCTCTCTCTTCCCATTTCTTGCTCTCTCTCACCCCCCTCTCTTGCTCTCTCCCTACCTTCCTCTCTATCAGTGGCGGTGGGTAGTGAAGGGCTCACGGACTTAAGCCCCCCTCCCCACCACCCAAGTCTATCCCAAGGCAAATGAAAATAACGAAATAAGCAGTTGAAACTGTTCTGATCGACAGCAATGAACACAGAGTGATCAACTAGGCGGCTTGTTCGTTTATCCAATCACTGTTGTCCCCGCTTTCAACTATAGTAACCTAACAGCCAATCAAATGTCTTTAGGGCTCAGCAATCAACCAGCCAGTTCCCACGGTCTCTCCGTAATGAAACCCCTCTTGTAAAAAGGTAGAAGACTTGAAAAAAATATCACTGCACAGAGGGCTCACGCTCTCC